GTTAGGGCAATATTCAATGTTGACAGTGAAACACATTGTAAGCCATTATTCAAGAAACTTGGAATTTTAACTGTCACTTCTCTGTACATTTTAGATTGTTTACTGTATGTTAAAAATAATATTAGAGATTTCCCTACAAATGATTCAGTTCATAACCATTTTACCAGACAAAACACTTTTCTCCGTCCAAACCAATGTAATTTTATGACCACAATCAATAACTTTAGTGAATTTGGCAAAAGATTGTATAATATGTTACCTGCTCACATTAAATGTCTTGAAATACGACAATTTAAATTTACTATTAGAAAGATTTTGTGTGATTTATGTGTGTATAAGGTCAAAGAATTTGTAGAACATATTAAGTAGGTTAATGGATATACTGTGATGAAATTGTATGACGTTGCTATACATGTATTTATTATGTTGATGGCAATAAATGGATTTGATTTGATTTGATTTGAAAAACAAATAAAACTTAGATTGTCGACGTGAAAACCTAGTCACAAAACTTGAATGGATGGTGTTTTTGGCCTATGGGGGACCTCGAAACTAAAAAGTGAATCGGTCCCGGGTCGAATTCTTACTATCTTATTCTATCTTATTCTTACCTACGGTAACACCTTATTCCCAAAATGGAAAATTCACTGATAGTTGAAATAATCTTAAAAAAGGGCCTGAAGCTATCTGTTGAAATGGTATATTTTAAACTATAGGTATAGCCAAGGAACTAAAAGGGATAAACAGTAAACACTTTTTGATGGTTAAGTAAGTAGCTGTATTTTATCAAATTTATAGCCAAAAAAGTAGAATCTCAACGTGCAGTAAAACATGAAACACTACATATTTTAGCTTTAAAAATTATTCGTGACAGACTTTTATTGCAACAGACGATACAAAATTGTATTTTCTGTTAGATCAAAAAAGCGGATTTTCGACGTTGTATAGTATAATGTTAGAGCTTTGTATGAAGGACTAGGAGAGGAAGTTGTGTAGCAATCATCTAATCAACATAAATCTCAAACCACTATAAATATCTATCATATTTTTGTTTTCTAGACAAGCAAGTTCAACGGCTAAAGGGTCCGAACCACAGTGCCAGGGAATAATCGCTTGACCATTTGTGATTTGACCCAAGGTCCTTACACAGACAAGTATATCAATGTATTTAATTATTTTGTCTATGGTTGTAACCAACATATCAACCGCCTCCAAGGCCGTACTTGAAGAATGTACAAAGCCTGAATGCTTCGTTTGCAAATGATTTTTAAAATATTAATAATTCAATTATTATTTTACAGTGTCAACATGAAAAAAAAAACATGTTCAAATGTTTAAACACTTTATTCCATGAAGTTGAAACAAGTTATAATATTTTAATGAGCGTTAGTTGAAGTAACAAGGAGATTTTTGTTAATTAAATAACTCCAATAATAGCAACACAATGGAAATGGGAGTGGTAGAGAGAAGAGAGAGGAGGGGGTAGAGGAGGTGAGTTGGAGAGAAAGAGAGATATTAAACACGCACAACACCAGTTAGTGACAAATTAGTTTTGTTTTGTGTTTATATTGGGGATCAACACAACATGGTAACAAGTTGATCGTGTTACATATTAAACGAAACTCACTGTAATAACTGACTTCGATGTTCCTCCCCTAATGAGATATGGAAACATATAAACATAGTTTGGGTTGGATACTTGTTTAACAGTATTTCATGCAACTGAGATTTTTACATGTATCATTTACAAGCTACAATATCATGGTTATTTATGGTTATGTATTAAGTTGAATAGGTTATTTAAAAATAATAAATAATCTTTATGAAACTGTAGTATACTATTAGTATTATGACTTGTGTTTAAAAACAATCACAAATTAGTTTAAATACTATAACGATCTAGAACTATAACATCAATATCATTTCAGGTGTCTTAAGGCTTCGAAATATCGTAAACGTTGAAAAAGCTGTTACCATTTTTAATTTGCTATTAGAATTACCATCACTTGATTATTACTAACCGAATTTTACAATCACAGTACCACTGGAAATAGATTGAAAAGCTCTTCAAATGTGATGTCAAGTATTATTTTGATTTTGACTTGAAAGTCAATCATTTTCTGAAATTTGGCTTTGGAAAGATAAATATAAGGTCTTTAAGAAAAATCTTAAATGTAAGCATAGGTTGATATGCAAGCAAACTAAAGGTCTTTACTAGTAAAACACAACGTCGCAAATTTGAACCGAGTCAAAATGACAGATGTTAAAGATATCATTTTGATTCTTTAAACGGCCACCATTTTTTTCTCAGTCAGTTGTTATTTTTCAACTCAAATTTGTGGCATTTTATTCTACTAAAAAAGGCCTTTATTTTAATGTGCAAATCAACCTATGCATACATTTGATTTTCTTATGACTTCTAGCGGGCTCCTACCAGAGAAGGTAGCTTTAATTCAATGCATCTTTGAACAGCTGCCATTTTTGACTCGGTTGTCAGTTTGAGTTCAAATTTGTGGCTTTGTGTTTTACTAGTAAATACTTTTAATTTGATTTGCATCCAAACTATGCTTAGATTAAAGATTTTCTTATTACTACTTGTGGGCCGTCCCTCTGGAGGAGAGGAAAATTGACAATTGCTTAAAAAGGTAGGCTTTTATGATAAATATCTACATAAAAAACTGTACCTTAAATTGAGATTCTCATCGATCTCAGAACTAACAGTTCCTGCTAAGATTCAATGTGTAATTAATTATGTGATATCATTTTCACACAATATTTTGCAATGTTTATCAACAATTATCAATTAAATAGTATACTTTATAACAAGTCGTTGGAGAATTGGCTTCGTGTCATAAATTAACTGTTAGGTTAACCATCTACAACAAACGTTTATTTATTTCGCCATTACAGTTAGTAAATTGCTCTTAGCAGATTAGTTCTAAAGCAATGATAACCCAGTTTTGCGCCTTAGATTTGTAGTCACAAGTGAGAGAATTCTGTAGCCAATTGGAAATGTTACGAGTCTTCGAAACTGAAAACGAACGCTCTTATGTGTATCATGTGTTTACTATGAACAGCTGTAAGCTGTAATTAATACAAATTATCCGTCCGTTTGAAATAAAATCTTTTATCCATAAGAAATATATTAGTATTTTTATGGCCTGTGGAGCAAAGCCCGAGGACTTGTATTACAGGAATTGGTGAAAGGGGGTATCTACACAAACAATACTTCATTTTGACACATCGTTTGTAAAAATCCGTCCATTATTAACGGAGGGGTATTGTTTCGTAGAAATCGCCTTCACGTATTATACCTATACTAGGTGAAACCCGTCGAAATCGACGGTTACTTTCAAGGCTTACGTTAATTCATCTAACTGCGATCAATTTGGTGAAATGTACAAACAGGATGCATTTTTTTATTATTGTATATAAATTATGTCAAAATTGTAACTTCAGAGTTCACCAAGGTAAATCTCAGAAGCGTGCAGGAAAAGTCCATAATGTTATTTCAAGATAATGATTAAACAAGAGCACCGTGGGACAAAATGGAATAAACTATTTTTTTGGTCCACTCATTTAATTTATATTACTATACCTACTGATTTAAAAAGGGTTTAATAATAAAAATGAGAAGACTGCCGTACACGTACGGTATTAACAGTAGTTAATTCAATTGAAAATGTACTATGCATCAGATTACAAAAAACTGTTACGTAGACAAAAATATGGAAGCTAACAATTATAACAAAATAATATTCAGTTCTAAGCTCAAGTAAAAAATCAGTGGCTATAATTTTATGATACTGTACCTTAAATCAACCACTTGTTTGCCGGTTGCCAATATTACGATTGTTTCAACGGAATGCGGAAAAAAGGCTAAACACGTCTCATGGATATACTTTTATATAGTATTCACAATTACATCTAAGTAATTGTTTGTATATTGTATCCTAAGATAAATTTGGGTTGTTCATCAAGCTAACTCGCAGCATATATTTTACTGCATACATTTGTTAAATCATTTTGTTACATTCATCGATGCAGTAGATGTTAAGACAGTAGAATTGAAACCTCTTACTAAGAAATAATATTATTTTTTATCATCACTAAGTTGTGTTTGGTTATTAAAACCACAAAGTTGTGTCTAGTTTAAGTTGAACAAGAAAACACAATAGTATTTACTGTATTTGATATTCATGTATTCAATTCTTACTAGAAAGCTGTAGAACTAGGTAAGAAGCATAATCTTTTGACACAATTTAAAATAACAACAAAAGTTTGTTATAAGTATTGAACTTTAACTTGACTTTTTGGTCCACTGTCTATAAAGCCTTTTGTTATTTTCAAACATATAAGTTTTTTTTTATTTACACATTGAGATCACAGTACAAACAAATCAATGATCATAACTTTCTTGAGGGTTGTCAAAAGATAGTGTCCGCCCAGAGTCCAGGCTTATAACAAACAGTACAGTACTACAATATTTGTTATTACAGCTAATTTTAAAATAAGTGGGTTATATACAGTTTAATGTATTTGACTTCGTAATAAAGTATATACTCATAAATTAATGTTTCTTTCTAGTTCTAGAGCATTCCCCTATTTGAACAACAATAGAAGAAGAATCCTATCCTTGTTTAAGAAATATATATAAGCTAATACCAGATTGTATTTGTTTACAAAATACATTTAACCTTCATTTATTATTTTAATAGTTTTTATTTTTTTATGCTAGAGTATTTATAAATCTAGAACAATGGCAGCAAAGTAATCATCCCTTCCTTGACGATAAATTTAGCTGAAACTTAAAATAAATTTCTTACTTTTATGTTTTGTCATTTCCTGGTCGTTCCTACGCCTCTTTTATGTCCTTCCTTTAAAAACAAGGACTTTTTGTCTTTCCTCGTTCTCTGATGCATTCTCAACCAAAGCTTTACCATTTATCATCATATATTTAGACATATTTTTTAATAGTGGTGGCAATCTTAAATACTTACATGAGAGATTGGGCAGAGTTTTTGTAAAATATCCTATGTAACACACACAAACGCACAAGTACTTTGCACGCACTCTGCTTCGCGTCTACTGGACTGGGCTAAGCCCCCACCCCCACAAACTACCCCCGCGCACCCACACACTCGCACGCGCCTGCCCACTCATTCATACCCAACCACTGTTAATGAACTGATCATTCCCACTCTTCACCCTGGGGATTTATAATGTAGGATGACTCTGGAAACTGTGTGGTGGTGTTTTGTAAACTTTTAATCAGGTTTAAATGTTTAAATCAGATTAAGGAATATAGTATAATGTGATCAATTTATACATGAAGAGATTGATATATTAGGCTAAATAATTGGTTACAATCAATAATGGTTGCAATAAAATTAATGTACTGGTTACTATATGTGGTTTTGATTAATACAATCATTTTTCCTACAGTTACCTAACAATGTACATGTTCTCTCACTGATTTGAGAAAGCAACGTGGCCAATTTGCTCACCAGTGAGACAGTGTTGACATTGTCTCACTCTAATTACTTTGTCTCACTCCAGATTTGCAACGTGAAGGCACGAAATAGTGAGCGCGTAACATGAAGACAAAGTCGTATGCGAGCAAAATACGTTGGCACCACTGGCTGTAAATCAGCTGGTCAGCTGTTGTACTGTTGTATCATTAAATGCCATATTAAAAGTTCACTTCTGTGTAAAAATATGTTACGTTTCTTTACCAATTTATTTGTTTTATGGTAACTGTAGGAAAAATATAATGTGCAACTGGAGTGCAAAGTGCAATTGACTCACTCGAGAAATCATTCCTCACTCGCCTACGGCTCGTGAGTAAGTATTTCTCTCGAGTGAGTCAATTGCTCACTTTGCTCACTAGTTGCACAAATAACTAGTATCAAGACCTTATTTAATTTATAGTTGAATTATTTATATAGATATAGACCCCCTGAAAAAGTAAATACTGTAGGCTATTTAACTTGCTCTTTTTATATACAAAACCTTTATTTTGGAATAAATAATATTATTAACCTTTATCTTTAAGAAAACTTAAACAGGACCTTTAGGACAACTTTCTTGTTTCCGCGAAAGCAAGAAGATTACCTCTTGAAGTTGGTGGTTCATTCAATGCAGTGTCCACCAAGCAAACTATGAGAATAAGAATCATAATGAGAATCATAAGCTCTAGCATAAAGAATATTATCATAATAAAGGGGGTTATATATCTAATGCAACCCAACTTAAACGTATTGTGAGACACATTTTAACGACAAAACAAGCCTATACGTTGGTTTAACCTGTGTCTTTGTTTTATTGCCGATCAGCTGATTTGCATTGATGCATATTTATACGTTGGTATACCTGTGTCTTTGTTTTATTGCCGATCAGCTGATTTGCATTGATGCATAGTTATACGTTGGTATACCTGTGTCTTTGTTTTATTGCCGATCAGCTGATTTGCATTGATGCATAGTTATCTTTGAGGCATAGTGTAGTTGGACATTTATTTTAATAAGAAAAATCACGGTAATTCCCAACTATCGAAGAGTTATACGTTAAAAGTAAACTATTGGTTTTATGCTAGTAAAGGTTAGAAATTAATTTTCCTGGTGTTCCAGTGCTTCATAAATCAACTATTATTGACATGTACATTTTTTAAGGAAATCGCTTACTTAGTAGACAAAACAAGTAGACATACAACCTGTACAGTACTCCATTTGGGCTTGTGAAAAGATGATTTTAAGTCTCATTTATAATAAATTCCCAATAACACTAAAACTCATAGATAACAGTGCAGTTATGCATATCATATAATCGGTAATGAAGTAAAGTAAAAATGGATACCTACATATAAGCTTTTTTGTCATTAAAATGTGTTCCACAGTAGTTTCATATATTTGGGCTGCGTTAAAAAACCCCATATAGTGACCGTGTCTAATTCCACGCTTATTAAAGTAATGCATTAAAGAATTTCTGTTTGAGTTTAGTTAGGTGTATTTGCTCGCCAATGGTACTCAAATTTTGTAATGGTAATCAATTTCATCAGTACAAATTTAATATTTATAGATTGTTGATTGAGAAATGTCCGATATTATTTGTTGAAAGTATTATATGTAGCCATCTAAATTCATAGTTTATTTTTATTTTTTTACATTATTTATGTAGCATCAATTTATCTTCTCAAACCTTTAGGCCTGCACGGTTAACGAAATTTACTTTTGGTATCGGTTTCATAAAATTGTTAAAACTTCTGATAACACATTTTGAATATATTTTTGTGTCTCAACGCAAGAAATAATAAAAGTACTTCATTTATTTATTAGATAAGAAAATATTCATGGGAAACTTAATTATTGCTAATCAATGCTTTGCTCAGAAAGTTTTTGAACGACAAAAATAACCATATATCTCTTGGCAGTTAATGATTTTACCATTTACTTGACCATTTCATAAATATAACAATATTAAAATTTATTAATAAGCTACTTGGGAATAATAATACTTAAAACCAGTCAAGACTGTGCCCTTAAGGTGAGTAAAATGTTCCAAATAATCATTCCGTTGTCTGAATCAAATTTATTACGATTCAGCTTTCCGAATCGTACAGATTTTGTGTTTGGAGACCTATTTATATCGGATTTATTTTGCAATTCTGATTTCTAAATAAATATAATACGATTTCGTGCATCAGTTCGTTTTTATTCAACAAAGTAACGATGTTAAAACTTTATTTTATATACATCTCATTCACTATTAATGGAGTAAAAAATAATGCTATCGCTAAAATTTATGATGAAGACAAATCTATTAAAACCACAACGATGTACATCTATGATTAAACAATAAGCTTTTAACTCCCGAACCTTTAATTACAATAAATTAGTTAATGACAGAGGATTTTCACGATAGAGAAGTTCCATACATACCACTTGTTCGTTAAAATAAATAGTGTTTATATAGTATTAAATCCTGATTTGAAACTGTTTTAGAATTGGGCTCTTATGAATAGTTTTGACTGTTTTGTTATGTACATTACAATACAGTATACAATACGTAAACAAATTGTTGTTCTGAATCTAATAAGGTTTGAACTGACCAGACTATCCCCGTCCATAGTACGAGCATGGACTCACTGTTAGCATAACAATGGTATAACATAAATACATTTTAATACGAAATACAACAGCCACCATCGCGTAGCGTCTTAGAGGCCTAATACAAGAACTACTTATGAAGAATATATGGTGATTGCGATAAAAAAACAATCGTTTCCTTAAACAAAACTCGAAGCACTAAAAATAATGAAAGTTTCGTAACAACTGGTGGACGAGGAATCCGTGCCGTTATTTGCACAATCATGCAAAACACCAGCTTCGCTGAACGTACGTAATGATACACATTTGTGAGTCTTTCACAAAAGTGTTCATGCATCATTCATGCTTTGCCCAGGTTGAAAGTCTTGACAAAATAATGGGTTGTTATAAACTCAATACTTTCTTTAAATAACTGCTATGATTTACTTGATTTCAATTTAGCCACTAAACCCTTAGATAGTTGTTTTGATTGATATTTTTTGTGTAAGTTTATTTTCTAATGGCTGAAAATACGTGGTGGGATAACTAGGAGTAATTTATAGCTTATTTAACCCGTGCATAACAATCCAATTATTTAAGTGTTTATACATTAGAATCCTAGTATTCCCAGTACGCATGAAGGTTGGGATTTAAAAAACACCATTGTTTTTTTTTTAATTTTTATCAATCATCTTAATGTTTATCTTTGAATCTATTTTCAAAGGAGTTTTTACAACTGATCCTCAATCATTTTCCATTATTCTTGTTCAAAATTTGATGTAGAATACGAAAATGACATTATCTACTCAAATCCATATACAGGTAATTGAGAAATCGCTGTATTAAGTTTAAAAGCATGGTTATTTTTGAAAAACATAAAATAATTTTTTGGGATGTTAATTTTAAGACTTGGAACATTTGATATGCATCATCACGCTTCATTTACTTTGTACTTACACCAAACAATTTTTGTCACACTGAGTACCAATCACCCTGTATTCTATAAAATGCCTAGGGGTATTCACAAACAAATATTTGAAAACAGAATGCTACTTTGTTTCGAATTGCAATAAAAATTTCTCTAAAGCGTCTCAAAATAAACCCCATTAAAAATTATGTTTTTTAAATTGACATACAATTGCTTAAGGTAAAAAGGAAAATACGTTCACTACTAGAATGTAGCACAACATGAACATCCAAATTACTGTTGCAAGAGGAGAATTAACATTGAGTTCTGAGAAGGGTGGTGTATCTGTGACGCACTGTAAAATAACAACCTTGTGTGGGCGTGTTTGGGGGGATACAACACAGTAATTACATGTCATTGACTTGTGCTACGAAAGAAAGCTAGCTTTAATTAACTTGTCACAGATGTTTATTTCACCTATTATATAACGTAACTATTTGTTTAAGTTGTGTAAGCCCTTTGAATACTTCTTTTGGGTTTGAGTAATATTTGTTGTGATATTGTATATATCTAATAGTCTTTATTTTATTGTCTTGTTGAAATCATATGGTTTCTGTTTATGTGGTGATGATTTATGTTAGTATTGAGATAGCATTAAGATTAAAAATGTCCATCTAAAGTAGGCTTCCTTACACTGATTATAGTACAGAAAGCTGGTAATTGCTGCATTTACTTACTTTGCCGCACACTTGTTACTTTGTCGCAAACCAGTATTCCGACCAAACAACACATAACAGCATGCTTTAGCTTGTTTTATTATGCACGTAATCCGTGTACTCTTGGAAATAGGTTGGCAACACTTAAAGCTACTACGACTACGATCAGCTGGTACAGCGTTTCCCAACAACGTGTTGTACAGTGTTTGAAAGACTAATTATTTATATGATTTATAGTAACTGTAGGAAAAATGTAATAGTGCAAACTACCTTTGCTGCAGTTACACAAATAACTAGTTTTTTTTATTCTTTTGCAACATATGTTTTTATTGATTCAACTAGGTGTTTGTTGTATCGAGCCACTGTCATGAGGGTCTTCTATTATAAAATAT